AAATTTATAACATTAATTATATTATTAAAATATTATATATATAATAAAACATATTTTTTTATTAACACTTAAAATATAATAAAAATAGTTTTTCTTCATAATTATCATCTTAAAAAAATTAATTTTGGAGAATTTCATACTCTCTTATTTTCTTTCTCCATTTTATATAATCTGTTGAAGCCAAAATTTACTTAAAATCTTCATTTTCTCGATTTTATAAAATTTTGTTGGAGATGTTTCTTATATTTAAAAAATATATATTTAAATTAAGAGCATTACAACAGATTCTTTAAAATAGAGAAAATGGAGTTTTTACTCGTTTATATTAATCCAATAATTTTTCTATATTGTTCTTTAAAATAAAGAAATGTAGAAAACTCTTCATATATATAGAATCCTTCAAATTCTTTAGTGTAAAGAGAGAAATATTATTTTAATATTTTTATCTACGAAATTTATTTATTAATTTTTTACATAAAATCTTTTTAATAAATATAGTAAAATGATAAAATTATATAATATTTTAATAATATAATTGATATTAATTTCTTTAAAATAAAAAATTTGTAGAGTTTAATCTAATTTATTTTAAAGATTTTAACTTTAAAAAACTATATCTCCTTTAATAATTCAACAAATCACTAAAAATAGAAATTTTAATAATAAACAAAAACAGAAAATTGAAAGTTGGGGCCCACACTCCAGAAAAATGAACAGGTACCACGATAGGCTTCTAGACATATGTGCCTGGACGCATTACTGCCACCTGGCCATTTTTATTTTCTTTATTCTATTTTTATTTTTATTTTTAATAATCAGTCAACTATTAAAAAATAACTTCAATGTTTATATATAAATACATCAATTGAAGTTTACTTTTGTAATTTTGTGTACCAAACAATTTTTTCTAAAAGGTGATATCAAACAATTTATTAACCTACCAACTTCTAAATTAAATAAAGAAAAAGTCAATTTTTTGATGGAAAATTCTGGAACTGATGTTTTTATTATTATTAGAAAGGTACTCGTGTAATGCAACGAGATACATTTTGATTTTAATGTTTTATTTTATTTTATTCCTTATCAATATTATAATATGGTTTTATGTAGTTTTGAGAAACCGATAACGTTTTTATTTTTGAAGGTATTATAAAATTTTGAAATAAAATATATCGATATTAGTATCAAATTAATTATTTACAAGTTATTATATTTTTGTGTAATTTTTTTATAAATTAATCTAGGTTTAATAATGAGGTAATTTATTTTTGATTTAATAATATAATTTTTATAAGGATACTAATTAAGTATTATGGTAGAACACAATGATTATCTTAATTATATTTTTATTTTTTATATTTTCAATGAAATGTTTATTCTGTATCTGATTATATTTGTTTTTACTTACTTAGTGGAATTTAAGTATGAAGTTTTAATAAATTGTATTTATGCATAATTTACTTGTAATCTTAAATTTTAAGTAATATGTATCAATAAACAATACTTTATGTATAAAAAAAATGGGTTTTAAGAATTTTTGTCAAATGATTTATAATATAGTATAGATAGGTTAAAGTATATGTAAAAAAGTTTGTTGTAATTTTTATTAATTAGATGATTATTTTTTTGATTTGTTACGTAACTGATGGGTTCTTTAACTTATCCGGTTACTTTATCTTATTGAATAAATATGATAAAAGTTAAAAATCTTACATGGTAAAATAAATAATAAGGATCAAGAATTTTACCCAGTAAGTGAAAATGATTGTTTTTATCCGATAAATCTTTACCAAATAAAATATGGCGACATTTGAAGGGACTAAATTTTTACTGAGTAAGTTAAATAAAAATGCTTATTCTGTTGGATAAACGACCTATAATTTCAATTTTGACGATTTAAACATGTTCTGATTAATAATCAATAAACTTTATAACTATTGATGATATGATGTCTTATCTATATTATATTATAAAGTATTTGACAAAAACATTTAAACACCATTTTTATGCATAAAGTACTGTTTATTGATGTATATTACTTAAAATTCAAGATCATAAATAAGACGTGCGTAAGTACAACTTTTTAAGCTTCATGTTTAAATTCGTGTAACTAACTGCAGATAAATATTTTATTTTAAATATAAAAAAAATCTAAAATATAATTAAGATAATCATTGAGTTATAATAAAATACTTAATTATCATCATTATGAAAAGTTATATTATTAACTTAAAAATAAATTACTTCGTTATTAAATCTAAATTAAATTATAATAAATAGTTAATTTGATACTAATATTGATATATTTATTTTTGAAAATTTATGAAATCTTTAAATTTATATTTTATTTAAAAATAAAAATATTGTATCTCTTTTAAAATCATATAAAAAATAAAATAAAATATTAAAATCAAAATTTATCTTTAATACATTATACGAATATCCTTCTAATATTTATGATGTAAGATGAGTACGGAATGGAATAAATTGAAACTTGTTATATTAATTAATAAAGAAAATTATCCTGAGAATTGAAATCAGATATTAAATAGAAAATTGGCATAAAGAGACAAGGAAAACTTGTATGAGGCTCTCGAAAGGATCACAGACATACTGATACTATTAACTTCTATTTATACCTTTCTCCGCCTGGTTTTCTTTGCTCAGAAAAGGGAGCACCCAAACCAACCATTTGATTCATCCCTAAAGGATAAAGGTTTGTTCCCCTGTTTTTTTTCTTCGTATCTGTCATAGATTTGACTGGATGATTTCAATTTGTTTCACAAGTTTTTGCTTTCTTGCCAACTTGTTTTTAATCTTATGTGGTGATTACTTGCTGTAATATGATCCATGCTCCTAATTTTTCTAGGGTTTAAATTGATTGCCGAATGAATTTATCATCGTCAAATGCATTGCGTAATGTTCACGCATGCAATTTGTTGTTTTGGATGAGTTTTGTATGTATTCCCTTGATCAGTAGTAAATATTCGATTTTGAGTGATTTTACAGGTGGTATAGGTCAATTCTTTTGTTTTCGGGAATCCAAGTTTTGTGAATGTGATGATATTATGTGGGATCACTAGCCAAATTGTTTTCTTGATGCTTATATTTTATTTACTTTTTGATGTTTAATCCATTTTAATTGATTGTGCGCTTGTTGGTAGTAGTTTTTTTTCTTCTTAGTATGGAATGCATATGGATTTGCTTCGATAATGGATTCTTGATGCTTATATTATATTTACCTTTTTCATATATCATTAGTTGATTATGCGCTTCTTCATAGCAGCTGCTTTTATTAATTGAATGCATATAGATTTGACTTGGATCACCTTCTGATATCTACAAAGGATGAATTGTTTTTGGCCTTTCAGGGTAATAGCATTTTGGATTACATAGAATGGGTGATTCAGAAGGAACTCCTGTTAGTACTCCTACAACTGAAGAGATGGCTGTTGGCAGTTTCTTGTCCAATTTCATGGAAGAGAAGTCTTATGGTGCTGTGGTTGCTGTTATTATTGCCATTGCTGTACCATTGGTTATTTCTTCAATGTTTATGGGGAAGAAGAAGGCGAAACAGAGAGGAGTTCCAGTTCAAGTTGGTGGTGAAGCAGGTTTCACCATGCGCAATGTCCGATCAAGCAAATTAGTTGATGTCCCTTGGGAAGGGGCTACAACCATGGCTGCACTCTTTGAGCAATCTTGTAAGAAGCATTCCCAACTTCGGTTTCTTGGTACAAGGAAGCTGATAGCTAGAGACTTTGTCACTGGTAGTGATGGGAGAAAATTTGAGAAGCTACACCTTGGGGAGTATCAATGGGAGACATATGGGCAGATATTTGAGCGTGTTTGCGACTTCGCTTCTGGACTTATTCAGCTTGGTCATGACCCTGATACTCGCATTGCCATATTTTCTGACACTCGGTCAGAATGGTTAATGGCATTTGAGGTAGATGACCTATTGTTTTTTCTCCTGATATGTTTGGCTTATATGAACACCAGTTACAAGTCTATTATGGTTTCAGGGGTGCTTCCGGCAGAATATAACCGTTGTGACCATATATGCATCATTAGGTGATGATGCCCTAATTCACTCTCTTAATGAGGTGGGAGCACAGAGCAGTTTTTCAGGTTTTTAGTTTTATTTTTTCTTACAAGTCCTGATGATATAAATTTTCCACAGACAAAGGTATCGACCTTGATTTGTGATTCCAAGCTACTGCAAAAAGTGGCTACAGTTAGTTCGAGCCTGAAAACTGTAAAAAATGTCATTTACTTTGAAAATGCTAATATTGAAGCCTCCACAAATATCAGTGATTGGAAAATTTCTTCTTTCACCGAAGTCGAAAAAATGGGGAAGAAGAATCCAGTTCCTGCCAAACTGCCTATCAAGAAAGACATTGCAGTCATCATGTATACAAGTGGCAGCACAGGGTTACCAAAGGTTTGATTGTGCCCTTATTCTCCTATTATTCAGAGGTTAATGCCAGAAATCTAGGAACTGAATGAGTCAAACAGTGATGATCGTCTGTACTTGAAAATAACCTCCATCATATATTCAGAACAATAACCAAAGCCACATCACTAATTAAGAAAACATACAATAACCTTGTATATCACTTGAACTGTGGTCGCATTCTTACCAAACCGAACGAACCCAATAAATCCCATACAAGTAGGGTCTAGGGAGGGTAAAATGTACGTTGACCATTCATCCTCCCCAAGGGTAAAAAATTTCAACTGACGCTAACATACTGCTGTGTTGACGTTCTAGGGGGTGATGATGACACATGGGAATGTAGTAGCAACTGCAGCTGCGGTTATGACTGTAATCCCAGGAATTGGGACCAGTGATGTCTACTTGGCATACTTGCCATTGGCTCATATATTTGAATTAGCTGCTGAGGTAACATCATGCATGAATTTTTATTACATAAACCACCAACCTACTATATGATTGTCAGTTTGTCACATGCTGTTGTTGTGCAGACTGTGATGATAACTGCAGGTATGCCAATTGGTTATGGTTCAGCACTGACTTTAACAGACACGTCTAATAAAGTTAAAAAAGGGACCCAGGGAGATGCTTCTGCTTTGAAGCCGACCTTAATGGCATCAGTTCCAGCCATTTTAGATCGTGTCCGAGATGGAGTAGTAAAGAAGGTCTGTATCAGGCTTGCTGAATGGACTTCGTTATTGTCTCTAAAAGAAACTATGTCTCTCACTTAACTTATTGCTTCTTATTATTCCAATTGTAAAATGGATATATTGTAGGTTGAGGAAAAGGGAGGTTTGACTACAAAACTTTTCAATATAGCCTTCAAAAGACGGCTGATGGGAGTACAAGGAAGTTGGCTGGGGGCATGGGGGTTAGAGAAGATACTGTGGGATGCCATTGTTTTCAAGAAGATACAGTCTTTACTTGGAGGAAAAATCCGTTTCATGCTCTGTGGTGGTGCTCCTTTAGCTGGAGATACCCAGCGATTTATCAATGTCTGCATGGGGTAAATATCACATTGTCTACACCTGCTGAATAGATAACATCTGTTTCGTTTGTTTATTTATTGCCCAATTCGTGAAATGGGCCTCTTATATGGCGAATTTGATCGAGTATGATATAGGACTTCTATGGTGGTCTTATATCAAGCCACTTAATCATGGATTTTCACCTCAACATGCAAGTAATAGCCTCGAGTAGTCGCTTATACAACAATGCATCTTATCTTTTCCATAAAACAGGATTGGGATTCATTGCATGTTATATGCCATATAGTATCCACAACTACTGTGACCCAGACTTATGCTATTGAACCACACGTTTTTGAGGATCTTTAGATATATGAATAATGTTTGAAAAAGCTTTAAAACTGAAACCACGCCCAGAAGTCATGTTCTGCTGTTGCCTATAGCCATAAACGTTCCAAACTTCTCCGGTCCATAATTCATTCTTTGTAGTTTGCTATATTATTCCTGCAAAAGTAAGCTCATTACAGGGTGTAGTGGTGTTATAGCTGATTTCCATTTAGGATTTATCTACTTTTCCACCTGTGAAGAGAAATGGACTATATACCGAAGATGAGAAGAAAACATATTCCTAAGATATGGATAAACCAATGCATTTGTATGAAGCATGATCAATAATCAACAGATGACGGGAAACAAGTATATAAAGAACAACTGCATTTCTTGCAATGTCAAAAGTAACTCGTGTTTCCTAAAAGTTAGAGAACTCCAGGTCTTCTTGAAAAATTTCTTGTTCAAATTTTGATATTTTGATTATTACATTTTGACATTTGGTGGCTAATTAAAGGAAAAGAAAAACATGTTGACTAGAACTTCAATAGGTGCAGGCTTCAGAATAGGAAAAAGGGGTTACTTTTAATTTATGAATGATATTGACGTTATTATTGTTGGCCGAGTAGCAAATGGCCTCAATCTTGTCTTAAATGGGCAAAATGAGGTCTTAAGCCTCTCTTTGCTGTTTATGCATCCAATCGACAATTTTGAGAAATTTTTGGCTAGCAATGAATTGAAAACCTTACAGAATTCTCATCCAAATTTTGTGTGGAATGTAAGCTACATGCAGTTGTTTCTTTCGATTGCTAGTCTTGAGTTGTGTGTAAATGTTATTTGTCTTTTTTTCCAACACTACTCCTCAGGGCTCCAATTGGCCAAGGATATGGGCTGACGGAAACATGTGCTGGAGCTGCTTTTTCTGAGGCGGATGACAGCTCTGTTGGGCGTGTTGGTCCACCTCTTCCTTGTGCCTATATTAAGGTATGAGAACTTATGATTTGAAAAAGAAACATAATCACGGTGCTCTAAGACCCCTTGGTTTGCGAGAGTTGTTGCATAGCAGCTTCCTTGCATTTTGCAAAGTGATTGTTTCTTCGACTCAAAACTGTGACCTTTTGGTGACACATGAGTAACCATACTGGTTGCTTTAGGGCTCATCCCTGTATGCAAACTTATGATTACTGATGAATAATAAGATTGAACCGCTAGCTGGCACTGTATTAATCTCAGAGTTCCACAATTGGAATCCACCTGTTCTAATTTGTTCCAAAAAGATGGTATGTTTTACTGTTGAACACTCAAAATAAAATATATGTTGTTCCAAATTACCCTTACCCCCAAATAAGCTCCAAAATTAGTTGCTTTTTTCGCTATGGTTAGAACTGCCAAGTGCAAATTATCTATATATGGCTACCATGGGGAAGGATGTACCAAATGAATAGAGGGAGTATTAGTTAAGATGGATAACTAGATGAGGGAGTTTGGAAATTACAAAGAATAAAACAACCTCTAGAAAAGGCTATGTAACAACTTCCTTTCCCCTTAATATCTTCCTAAATTTTTTAGGACTTGGGCAACACAATCCCTGTATCACTTCTCTCTTTTCTTTCTTGATCTGAGTAATCGCAGATGAACTAGACGTAATACTTTGAACAAGAATATGATTTATCTAATTAATGTGGCCTGTGGGTCCTCCTCTATTGCAGCTCATTTCGTGGGATGAAGGTGGGTACTTAACATCAGACAAACCGATGCCACGAGGTGAAGTTGTAGTTGGTGGCTTCAGTGTGACTGCTGGTTACTTCAACAATGAGGAAAAAACCAATGAAGTTTATAAGGTGTGTGTATATCATTACATTGCTCATTTTGACTCAATTATTGTTATTGCTTACATCGTCTTCTTGGTGCAGGTTGATGAAAGTGGGATGCGTTGGTTCTACACTGGGGACATCGGAAGATTTCACCCTGATGGATGCCTTGAAATCATTGACAGAAAGAAGGATATTGTAAAGCTTCAACATGGAGAGTACATCTCCTTAGGGAAGGTACACCTCCAAACCATGTTGAACATCTGTTCAACGTCCTTACTGTTGTATAATATTTATATACAGCAAAACTCGCACACACTCCTCAGTGTTGGTGAGGCTTGAACCCTCCAAGGAGGTTGAGATCTACCGGTAACTCGGGTACAGCTGGGCCAATGATCCTTTTGATATCCTTGCCATTGTTTTATGCAAGACAATCAACCATCTTGGATGAGCTGTCCAACACCTCACATCCCCCCACACTAAATTTTTCAATCATAAGCAAAGGACCTTATTTCTAAATGCTTCCAACAATAGAGTGCAAAGCCATCAGAAGATTGACATGTATGATCTGTTTGCCTTGGTTGTGTATGTCACAGATGATAGTAGGGAAAATATATACTCCCCGTGTCCCAAAATAAATGTCCACAATGAAAAAGACGCACAGTTTTAAAACAAACCAAACGAACCTAGTAAATCCCACTCGAAAGTAGGGTCTGGGAGAGGGGGAGGGGTAAGATGTACCCGGACCTTACCTCAACAAAGTTTTAGATCTGTGTAACTATTACACTTTTAATTAACTAAATGACAATTTTATCCTGATTGATAGAGGAAGTAGGTTGATTGGAAGTAGGCACTTCCTTTTGAAAATGGACACATATTTTGGGAAAATATAAATTTGGACATATATTTTGGGGAGAAGGAAGTAAGATTCGAGTGCGCATATATTCTGCTTATTCTGGTGTTTTAATTACAGGTTGAGGCAGCACTTGCATCAAGCAAGTACGTCGAAAATGTAATGTTACATGCAGATCCCTTCCACAGTTATTGTGTTGCCTTAGTTGTCCCTGCACGCCAGGTTCTTGAGAATTGGGCACAAAGTGCGGGTATTAGTTACAAAGATTTTGCTGAGTTGTGTGGCAAAAAAGAAGCTGTCTCCGAGGTTCAGCAATCTCTTGCCAAGGTTCTTTCCTGAAAAGCTCCTATTTTTCGTTTTATGGCTTGTTTGTTAGCAGCTCAATGAGCTTAATGGAACTCACAGCCTATTTCAGTCAGCTATACATGACTGTTTGCTAGTGCTTAATGATATAGAAAGTGACTTATTCAGTAAGCTTTTAGGGGGGAGCTTTATGCAGAAAGCCAAAAAAAATTCATACCTTCTTGACCTAATTAAAGAACACGTTCATTCCATCTATGAAGAAGTCCTCCAAAACAAAAACCTTCCCAATCTATTAAGACAGATTAATACACACAGACTGTTTATCCGTACTGGACTTAATGGAAAACGAACCCCTTAGTCTGTGTTTTAACTATAACTTATGCCATGATGTTTCTAATTGCTATTACTATTCAACCTTCATTGCTACCAATTTGAGACATCTAGTTGACTCAAAATCCTTAATATAAAATGAACAATGGGGGGAAAGTTCATAAATATTTTTGAAAACCTAAGAACCAACCATTTCATGTATTATTCATAATGAATAACCCTGAATAATCATGAAATATTATTCATCATGAGAATCATGCATTTTCATAACTCATGATATCATGCAATTTTATTCTAAACGATTTTCATCATGAATATCTATCAAGACATTCTCGTGAATAGTTGGTTCTCAGGTTTTCAAAATATTTATGGTCATCATTTGAACCTGCCCCATGAACGATGTCTGCTAATCTTGTGCAAGCCCCTGCATTTAGAAGCGGGACGTTTAATTGTTTAAAAATGCAGAAAGGAATTGGAAACAATCTTGGTAAATATAATCATTTGGATCAAGGATTAAGTTGAATTTTTGAATCTTGTGCAGGTCGCGAAAGAATCGAAGTTGGACAAGTTTGAAAACCCAGCGAAGATCAAGTTGATGCCGGATCCATGGACTCCGGAATCGGGATTAGTAACAGCTGCTCTCAAGTTAAAGAGGGAACAACTGAAGACCAAATTCAAGGATGATCTGCAAAAGCTATATGACTGATTTGCCCCTTTTCTTGTTCCGGTAAGGTGTAGCTCTACAAGGCCATACGCTTTCTCGTTTCTTTAACATTTTTTGATTTCGTCGTTTATACTTTACAAGATTCATGTGTTGATCTTCGCTAGTTTTCTCTTATAATGTGTCTTTTGAATACAAAATGATTGTTTTTCGGTTGAATACTTTCGGGTTTAATCAATACTTGATTGATTTCAGAGGACCGCTATCACGAATAGAAGTATTCAAACGAAATCCTTTCACCAAAACATGTTTTTGGAAAGAAATTTAAGTCGGAAGAATGATGAGAAAGATGTGTGTTATGTGTTACCGTTTGTGTAAATGTTATTGGAATCGGGACGCCGATTCGGCAAATAGACATCGTCAAATATGTCTATTTGCGGCTAGTGCTCGTACAGATAGTCGTGAGTCGGTAACATGCATGATTCGTCTCGGGGATGCTAATCCAGTGTCAAGATACAACTCGGTGTGACGTTTGGTGTAACTGAATATGAATATGATAGAACATATAAAATGATTAATTTACCTCTAACGGTGTTATTTATAATTTTGATCAATTTACGTGATTCATTAAATTAAATAAAATAAAATACATATTTTTTGTAAAAAATATATCAATATACATTTTTGTCAAGATGTTGAAAATGACACGAAAATAAAAAATTGTTGTAGTTTTTAATTTTTATATTATACCTTTTATGTATTATTTTTTATTATTACTATTTAATAAATTACATAAAAATCAATCAAAATATAAAAACTAGTAAAGTTAAAAGCATAAAACAAAATAAATAAAATTTAAATAATTAATAAAAATATAAGAAGGGAGGCATATTTGACTTTGTGAAAAAAAAAATACTTTGAGGTTATATTGGTAAAATATAGGTTTGTTCCACCTTCAATAAAATGGGAGTGGAACACGTCTATTTCACTTTTTTCACATACAAGTTTTGCCAAATGTGGAACAGATCTTTATCCTGTTGTCCTGTGTACCAAAAGCACCCGAACAAATGAGATCTAACGAATTGTTTTTTTGAGTGATTTAGATATTATTCTTTATAGATCTGACGAGACGTTTGGTTTATAAGATTCGAAACTGAATTGAATACCATTTTTTATTGATAATACTTATAAAATTAAATTTAAAATAATTATAAATATAATTAAATCATCATTTTTAATTGATTACTACAAAAATAAAGTTCTTTTAATATTTTAAAAAACATTATTACAAATATAAAATCTTAAGGGACTATTTGACATTTGTTAAATGATTTGGTGCAAAATGATTAAGTAATAAGAATGATTAAAAAATCTCATGATATAGTACAAAATGAAATATAATTGTTTGGTAATTGTTTACAATGAAATTAGACGCTCAATGGTTAAGAGAAGCCCAAGATACAAAATCATTCAGAGGGCTTTAAAACCATTAATAGGCAGATCTTTTTTTTGCCAAACAAGATTCACCTCTTAACGATTCAAAAATTGATTCTTAATGAAAATATTAAAAAGTAAACAAAACATCCCCTAACTACCCTTCATGTGATTTCTATATGATGGTGTTGATACACAATATATAGGGTGGTAGGCATTTTAATAAACATGCCCTAAAAGCACATTGTTGGTTCTGCCTAACAAGAGTTTAGCATACAACCCTTTTAAACCGTGCACAAAATGGTAACATGATAAATACATCTAACCGATCAAACAACATTTGGGGCAAGTTCGATAATTTCCCGCTATTCTGGATGCAAGTGAACACGGCTCCTTCGAACCACAAATGCACGTGCATCAGTCCTCTTTTGTGAACGCTGGTAACGATGGCCTCAAGAGAACGTACAAAGCAGGACCAAGGAATGGAATTAGCGATACGGGAAGAAGCCAAAAGCCCTTATCGTTCCTGCACATGTATAGATTTTAATGATTCAGGATCTCATTTTTCCCGTTAATCAAGTTGATAACGTCTTACCATTTTCGAGCAGTCATGTCGTTGTAAACCCAAAAAGGAGCAAAGCTAGATAGCAGAGCGAAATCGATGGTGGTTGCGTGTATCTGCATGCAAGAAAGACCGTGTTAGCGGCCTTGAACTTTTAGGTGATGGGTAAGCCGCAACCGCAACTCACACAGCCACTCGTAAGAGTCCAGAGATGCAGAAGGCCTGGGCTTTTTCGGCCCGAGCCTTCCAAGCCCGTTTTTAGTAAGCACAAAAAGCCCAGGCTTTTTCAGGTCTGGGCCTCAGTTTCGGGCTCTTTGTGCATCTCTATGCTAGACCAAGAATAGGAGACTTACGAGCCTACTCCCTCCAAAGTACTGCAAATACTCCTTCCAATCGTCCCCAGTTGCTAATCCTGCATAGATGATTAAGCCTAGTCCTGCAGCAAATGTTACCTGGTGCGTAGTTATTGAACCGGAAAAACTAAGGTTTCATTCATCAACAGATTTCTTTGTCATTATTCTCTAATTTGTGGGCCCCATCTTCATCTAATCTAGTATTAAGTAAAAGGACTCACAATCACATCAACGAATGAGATCCAGATATCAAAGGATCATGATGCATACACACTTTTTCAAGCAGCAGAAGTTATATTAAAAACTGATGCATATTAAGGTAGCATGAAACAACCGAAAAAAACAAAAGCAACTGAGACCTGCACCCCAAGATTGGATCTAACCATTAGACCCAATCCGACCAAGACTGAGAAAGAATACCCAAAAATAGTAACCATGCTAAGCGGCCGTTTACCAACACAAATCGGGTAAGTGCTGACCAAGTAAAAGTGCGGTATGGTAAGATGTTCGGTCTTGGTAAGCGCCAACTGAAAATGGTTGTTTACCAATTGTCAGGGTAAGTTCAGACCGACTGGGTCAGTATCTCAATGGTTCAGTGTGTGTTGGTAAACAATATCTCTTCTTATTGGATAAGCACCTCTTAACCGGTAAGAGGCAGACAACAGGAAGCAAACAATCCCTAGGGTGGGATTTACGGGGCTTGGTTGGTTTGGTTTTTAAGAAGTCTGTCAAGATGCGACTCAACTTTTGAATTTGAAGAGTCAAATGGAAAGAATCGTTTTGGTAACAGAGAAAGACCACATTTAACTGTAGAACTATATTATGATTGAAAACTAGATTTTTTGTTGCAAACTAACAATTCTTTTTAATAAAGAACACAAAAGAGAAAGCTATGGTTTGCAAATTGTCCAAAATCACTCATCTTTACGAACCATAATGCCTTTCTTTGAATTTTAGCATCAAGATAGGTAGATTACTAAACTACCCATGTCAAATTAAAACCTTCCAAGATTCTTTCATCCGTCTACCTCACTCTCGCCAGTCTTGTGCAAAACTATGCACCCTAACAAGGAATTCACGAGCTAGATACGCCGGAGGGTTCTCAGTGGTGGATTCATAGCAGCTAGCAACATGTTATACTGCTTTTTTAGCATAATTTTTACTTATATACGCGAATATTCAAGTTATGAATAATTTCCAAGTTTCCAGTTTTGAGGCTTACCCCAGCTGTCAATTTGGACTCGAGAAAGTTTAGAGGCCATCTTTTCAGCTCCGATTCTTCAGTGGCTGGAGGTGGTGGTCTCCAAATAACAAAATATAGTATAAGAGCATATGCACCCAGGAACCACGAAAGTATGAGGAACAGGGAGACAGGAACGTTTCCTTTTGAGCTGCATAATTGGACACATTCCACGAGTCATCTTCAAAGATTTAATCATTCGACATTCATGAACAAGAAATGTGAGAAACTATAAGCAATGAACTAGCTTTAATGGGCTGATTAGTAATTGCTGACCGCCCCTTACCGGGTAATAGATGCTTACCCCGTAAGAGATGAGGTTGTTTACCATACACCCCAACCAACAGATGATGTTCACCGGGATGCTGACTCGGTAAGGAAGGAAAAGCTCTCTTACTTGGTCTGTGCTTACCCAGATAGCACTCTTACCCGGTGAACGCTTACCTAATTTGTGTCGGTAAATGACCACTTCGCCCTATAACTTGCTCTATTTTGAACCAAAGCTCAAGATTACAATAAAAAGGGTGAGAAGGGGTTACCTTCGGCCAGAGGGCATCAGCAGCATGCTATACACTAAAGGCCATAACCCCATAATATTCCATATAGACACAATCACTTGATTTGGCTGAAAACCATCATCACCGGTCAAATAGCAAAGCTTTTTCAAGAGATACATGTCCGTCGACTGGAAAGCAACAAGAATTAAACAAGATTTCAATGAATATAGTTCCATATGAATGATTGATTTCTTGTAGAACCTGTGAGGATACAAGTTATAAGCAATCAATGAACACAATCTCATGTGAGCCATTTTTCAAGTTGATTTGAATAAAACTTAGAGCCACCATGATTTAGCATAGCATCATCCTAATTGTTACTTGTTAGAATACATGGAACCCCATTAGATTACTCTTCAAAAAAGACCCTTACTGGGTGAAGGGGCTAACGACTAACGAGTATAGATTACCCAAAATGTCAAGTCTCTATATCAGACTTGACTCTAATACCATGTGAGAATATATGGAACCCTTTACAAAGGTCCTACATAGATGCATGCTTGATGGTTCACCACAAGCCCCCTCAAGAGGAGGCTCGATCGTGCCCTTAAAGAACGGAGGCAAGAGTATCTCGAATATTTGCTCTGATACCATGAAAGAATACTTAAAACCCATCAAAAGTTTCAACATATATCAAACAGAAACGGTGTACAGGTGTCATAAAGTTGATAGATATCAAACTCAACTGCTTATAAGCCTAATTGTTAATCTTCTTTTAGCATCATAATTTCATCCCTATTAGATAGTGATGGCAAAATTGCAACATAATAAACCAAACCAGAATCAAAATTGTTGAAAAAACAATACCGGAGTCTGGTTGGGTGCAAGATTGAAGACATAATACATGAGTCCACCCCACAGCAAGAAGATCAGAAACGATGTCGTCCGCCCACCACCGCGATCACCACCACCACCACCAATCTGACCGCCGTCGATTTCCATGGAATTTTCTTGTTCCAAATCAGGGTCTTGTGACTTCTGAGTCTCTATTGAATTCCGACATATTTGAAGGCGACCTCTTTGTATGAATTGCGGATATTTACTTCTTGCAGTGATAATTCGTAAACGAAGGGGGAGAGTGGAGGTGTTTAAAAATGGGAGTTTGATTTTAGGGTTTTGGGAATGGAAGGAAGAGAAGTTGCAGGAGATGAGAGTGGTGCGAGCAAACATAGTACAACTTTTGGAACAGAAGGTACAAGAGGAATATAGATACAGAAGGGTGTATGTATATCGGCAGAGTGGGGATGAGGTAACATTCCTGAGCTTGACGACGTTTCCATTGCATCCAAATACTCCACGTCATTGCCGGCAAAGCTCCACAGGGGAGTTTGTCCGGTTCATGTCTAACCATTTTTGGTTACACTAAATTATACATTAAAAATGTGAAAAATGATATTATCATGTTCAAATTCAAGTAAGGATAAAATCTTTATGTGACCACAAAGGTTTAAATGCGGTGACTTCGGGTTATTTGCAAAATAGGTGGTTGTTCTGTAATTAGTCGGCTCGCATAGCGGGTTAGATATCCAGATTAATAAAAAAATGATACTAATAAATAAACTGTGTTTTTGGTCTATCGTAATTTTAAAATATAGAAATATTAATTGTTGATAAGATTCTAAATGACGGGAGACATGACGTGACGACAAGTCCAAGTCTCAAGTCCTAGAAGCCATGGTGAGACCATGATGTTTTTTAAGACGTGATTTATGACGGCAAATCTTTATATCATATAAATTATTATACATATAAACACATTTCGTATATCATTACTCAATGAGTCAATGATATTAAATAATTTAAATTAGGTTATACATTAGAAACTAACAAATAAAATGTTAAAAATAGTAAGAAAAATCAAATATTGTGTTACAAGAACCACCCATTAGGTCGTGACATGTCGTAGGCTTAACGTGGCATGAAACACAGACGTTAGGCCACGACACGCCACGATATGGCGAGTTTTTTTGAATAACTGATTATCGATGCAATGAAAGAAAATCTATTGGGAAGATGTAAAATAACAATATAACATATTAAGGGCAAATGATATTGATCTGGTACATCTCGATGCACCTCATTATTGTTGACATTCAATTAGGATCGATCTAAATATAGAGATCTTTTCTTACGTTTTTCACCGGACCCCAACCCACATATTAAGCGGGTTTATTTCCAAACATCTTGGATTATTTATTTGATTTCTATAACCAATTTAATTAAATTAACCTCGAACCGATTATTTAATCTTATTCGGTAACTAATTATTTGATTTGATAGGCGCTATCAGTTAGATATTAGTGTTCGTGATTTATCATATTTGATTATATTTCTTACATTCAATTTAAAAGCGTTATTCATATAAATACATGATTCACATGAACCTAACATAATATGTAATTTGATGGTAATCAGATTGCATCAGTTCGATTGTACTGAAAAGTTTAGATTGTTTTCACAAACGAACCAACATGTTTTCATGAGATCCATGAGACCATTTTTTATTATTTTTTATACGTCAGATAACCTTCGTAGTGTTTTGACTGTGAATGTTCGACTTCTTTTTATTTTTACAACGTCTTTTTGTAAAGTTTCAAGTATAAAAAATGGTCTCACTGGTCTCATAAAAACAGACTGGTCTCACATAAACCCAACTCATTATTGAATAATGAAAAAAACTTTAAATTTTCTTCTAAAATTTTATGTCCCTCTAAATTTCAAGGAGACACCGTTAGCATCAAATCAAATTGTTCAACTTTGGATAGCCTTCAAATTACAAGCAAAATGATGAAATTGTTAAATCTGAAAATAGTAGTGGCCAAGATGCAAAAACGAGAAAATTGGGTGGTCAAACTGCAAAAAGCGGAAGATCACCCCTAACGAGCAATCGGTACGACAACCGTCGAAACGACCAACGCACTCGTATCCACTTCATTCAGTAGATAAGGTTTTTCCTCTCGTCCACCTTATACCTCCGGCCATGGCGGAAGCTTCCAGGATCTTCCAGACCACATTGATGCCTTCATTATCTCAATCATTATCTCTCAGAAAGCCTTGCTGCTCTCAAACGATTTCCCTACGCAGAACCTCACCAGCGCTCATCCGCTGCACGATTTCCACCAGCAGCAGTGATACCACTAAGGCTGCAGCCACGACTCCTCAACCGATACCTTGGGGTTGCGATGTAGATTCTCTGGATAACGCAGCTGCGTTGCAGAAATGGTTGACGGATTCCGGTTTGCCGCCTCAGAAAATGGACATACAGAAGGTTGATATTGGAGAGAGGGGTCTCGTTGCCACTAATAACATCAGGAAGGGCGAAAAATTGCTATTTGTACCTCCGTCACTCGTTATTTCCGCCAATTCGGTATGATATTTGACTATATCACTCTGAACTTGCTAATTATTATTCTTTTTACAAATCTGTAGATTTGAAATGATGCGTTTATGTTGCTTAAAGTTGATTTGATTCAAATCTTCATTGTGTTGTTGAACCATCACACTTAGAGAGTTAAGTAGGCTGCCTAATTCTTGAGAAAATTTTGGCCATCAGTTTCTACAACCCTTAGCCCAGAAGTCGGAGTGTCAGAAGTTCATTGAGATTCTTTTATCATTTCTTGAAATTTGAAAGTATGTCCGATGTGCACATGAATGAAGGTTTATTGATATGTGGAACCAAAAACCTCAAAAAAATGGTTTGATAACCGTACAGCGTATTAAAGTATATAGAACTGCTGCATAATGATTTTTTCATTTAATTTAAAAATTGGAAAGTACTAACCCTATTTCAGCCGTATCCCTAATTGGCTAATTGGAATAAATAAGTAGGATTAGGGTTGTTTATGATTATCTATAAGTATGTTATGTATATTATAAATTTATAATGTTGATTTTTTCCTTTTTGTGGTAAGATTAGGGCTTAGGTGTTAAAGCAACTAGCAATGGCCATTGAATAAGTTTCTTCCGCTTGAGTTTTAAATCTCGACGCATCTATGTATTATTATAAGTTATTTCTATTGGATTAGATTTTTCCAGCTGAGATTAAATTAAATTTGTGATATCATATCTGAATTTGCTGATGAACAAGTACCACTTTCCCTTTCACCTCTGCTGGAGGCATAAAATACATGGGGAGGGGCTAAAATGTAGGAAAAATGTCATGGAATTCGATAACTAATAGCATCTTTTGAAGTACATGCAATAAAATGTCCCTTGCAATGTCGATCTTCTAGTACATGTTGACCTTTTTATGGAAGCCTAACTCAATGATGATTTTGAAAATGTAGGGTTTTGGCTAACCTTGAATGCTTAATTTAAAGATTGTTAGAAAATAGGATTGTAGAAGGAGAATAAGTGCAGTAAGTCAAATGATTAGGACGTGAGAATCACTGTCCTTAGGATATTAATAGCCCCCACTAGCAAGGTTGTTTGGGTTATAGGCTATGATACCCCCAGGATTCCCTAATCATATAAGATATATTCAACAACAGAATATATCTTCCATGAACATATGCAGAATTATTATTGAAGAGAATAAGAGGATTAAGAGAGAGAGAATCACACATATAAATAGGTTTGTGTTAACAACTGATTGTGGATAAGAAGTAACCAACATTTGGCTTTATTCAAATCAGAAAATCATGAACAAACTGTCAAAAACGGTGAGAAATATAAATAGCGTGAGATGCTGTTTCCAAACATAAAAATTTGATTTTTGGAATCCGCATAGGTGCTAGTGCTAGTGCTATCTTCTCACACAACAAGGCCGAACCATCCTTAGCTAACTTGCAGAGTTGTTTAAAGGAAGAATTTATCACTCTATCAATGTGGGACAAGTGATATGCCTCAACTCACATATATATAGATATCAATACCAGTAAGATTCTACTGATTTTCCTATGTAGGACAAAATCTCTCATGAGAATGTTATTCTATTTTATATAGCTTACAAGAGTTATATACATGCCAAAGGGCCTTTGTCCTAGCAGTGTCCGGGCCTTTGGCCTTCCAGGAGGGCAGGGGTTCATTTGGTGAGAAGGGTGTGTGAGTTTATTTGTTGCATTTACGTATATAAAAATTATTTACTTCAAAAAAAGAAAAAAAGAGTTATATACATGTAGCATGCTAAAACCCAGTGGACATGGCCAAATTATGGGTATTAAAGAGCTTTGGATTAGTGAGGTGTGGCATATTTGAAGTAATTATGCAACATGTTCTTCAACACATAAGCTCATGCGAACATCGGAACTCAGGAGTGGAGTTTTCCAGAGGCCGGGGAAGTTTTGAAGAGATATGATGTACCCGACTGGCCACTGATTGCGACCTACCTAATTAGTGAGGCAAGTCTTATGAAGTCGTCTAGATGGAGCAACTATATATCAGCCTTGCCAAGACAACCTTACTCACTTTTATACTGGTAAGCTTTCCTTGATCTTATTGCAGCTTCTCCTTGAATAATATAAGGATCCATGCTCAGTATTTTTCCCTACAGCATATTTGTATTATTTCAGGACACGTGCAGAATTAGATAGGTACCTGGAAGCATCCCAGATTAGAGAGCGGGCAATCGAAAGGATTAATAATGTAACTGGAACGTATGCACACTTTTCTTACCTTGGTTGTGTTTTCTTGTACTTGCTTCTGTTTGTATGTTTTGTTTATTATTGTTCGTCGTTTTGCCTGTTTGTTTGAATGTTGTTGCTTACTCCTAACACATCTTAGCACTGCCTTCCTTATTTTCAAGTTCTTGTGATGTTTTTTCTAGCAAAAAATTTTGTGCATTTTTATCCTTTCTTTTGCAAACTTTGCACAAGCCCGGGTCTTCATAGAAACACCGCTTTACTTTTTGAGGCATAGATAAGGTCGGCGTACATCTCACCCCCAGACCCTACCTCCGGGTATAATATACTTGGTTTGTTTGGTTGCCTGTAACGGAAGCTAGTATATAATTTTTGAACATTCCTAGTGGCTACATACCCAACTGTCTTATGGGCTTAAAGTTTAAACCGTAATGATTGTATCGATCTTTTTTGTAGATACAATGACTTGAAGGCAAGGATTTTTTCCAAGCATCCTAATTTATTTCCTGAAGAGGTACTTTCTCCACACAACTGTTTAAATCCTCAATGTTGTCTGGTCAGAACACCACATTTGTGAAAACTAAGCTATATTCATTGCAGGTATTCAATATGGAAACCTTTAGATGGTCCTTCGGCATTCTTTTTTCACGCATGGTGAGTTCCATAACAAATTATAATTGATTTGCTATGGTATAATTTTGGAAATTGAATACCTAAGGAATACAAGGTGCTTGAAATAATGGGGGTGTGGAGATATGTAGCCAGATCTGAACAAATATTTTACCATGAGAATAGATTCTATGCTTATGCACTCTCTATCATCCCGCCCCCAGGGAATAACAGACTTTGTTCCAGAGTGGTATACTTACACAAACACACGAGGGCTCGAGACTGACAGCCACAGTGTGAGAGTTACAGTTCCTTTGAGGAATGGGCTTCTTGTGGGTAACTGGGCTCTTAAGCCAGCCATCTAGCAGGCTGCTGGGTACCTGATTTGCCTCTCACATGTCTTGGGGCAGGGTGGTGTGGGCCTGCTCAGAGGTTGCTGGTTACAAACCCTTTTTACACAAACAAATTCTCTATCATCCCTGTCAATTTGTCATCATGAATATCCGGAAGTGGATAAACTAAAACTAAGATAAATTAGAACAAACGAGTTACCAGACATTTTACAGCCAAACTTCCTGTTGTTGCATGACTTAAACCTAACCACACACATTCAAGGTAAATTTTACCTGCTCTACAGCTTACATTAAGTGAATGATCTGGATCTTGTTTACCACTATTACAGGTTCGATTACCCTCACTGGATGGAAGGGTTGCCTTAGTCCCTTGGGCAGATATGTTGAACCATAGTTGTGATGTATGTTCTAGATCACTGTCTCCTCTAATTGAATCAAGATAACTCGATAAGGATCGGCCCTAACTAGATTGGTGTGTTTGATGCCTACAGGTAGAAACCTTTTTGGATTACGATAAATCAACCAAGGGAGTTGTATTCACAACTGATCGTCCGTACCAGCCAGGTGAGCAGGTAATCATTTTCTAAGTTCTTTTTTCAAGTATATTTTATTAGAGGAAAGGAAGCTCTCTTCAGAACAAAAAGGATACGCCACCTTAGAGTGTCTCATACAAAAATAATAAAAGAAAAGAAAAAAAAAAGGAATAAAGAAGAAAATATTTGTTGGCTTTCTAGGTTGATTAAGCTTTCAAAGTCTCAAACCGATGAATTGGAAGGTGATGCTTGAAAATTTACTTTTGTATTGCAGGTGTTCATTTCGTATGGCAGGAAATCTAATGGAGAGCTCCTGCTCTCTTATGGATTTGTGCCAAGGCAAGGGACAAATCCACGTGACTCGGTTGAACTGCCATTGTCACTTAAAAGATCAGATAAATGTTACGAAGAGAAGGTGGAAGCTCTCAAGAAGCACGGGTTGTCAGCGTGAGTAATACTGAAACCAGCGACAGTTACAGTATGGTTGTTGTTGGAGTCCCACATTGGCTAAACTTGGAGCATTTCTCCTCAATATATGATGGAACCTCTCTTCTCAAAGGCTCTTTTGGAGAGTAATATGATGGCGTTCCACATATTTTAATATGGTATCAAAGCCAAGGTTTACCACTCTAGGGACTTTACATTCTGGACAATCTGTGAACTTCTAGCCCCCAATTGGCACTATGGGACAATTTGTGCCCATGTAGCCTTCATTGGAGGGGGTGTGGTGGAGTCCTACATCAGCTAGAGTTGGACTTTTCTCCTCAATATATGATGAAACCTTCCTTCTCTCCTCAATGGCTCTTTTGGGAAGTAATCTGATGGGATTCCACCTTTTTTATCAGTTGTCAAATTTAAGTTTTTTTTTGGGTTATTCTAAGTTCTAACCATCTATGACCCCATATCCTTTTTTGAATCTACAAATGCAATTCTCATTTCCCCTGCGCTTTTGTATCAGATCGCAGTGTTATCCTTTACAAGTCACTGGTTGGCCATTGGAGTTGATGGCATATGCATATTTGGTCGTCAGTCCCCCGAGTATGATCGGGAAGTTTGAAGAGGTGAGGCTTATTCTAAACCGACTTTAGTTGTCGGATGTATTTTTATATCCTTCACCAAACTCTAAAGCAATTTTCTCGGTCCCAGATGGCTGCTGCAGCATCAAATAAAAGCACCACCAATAAGGACATTAGAATTCCTGAACTAGAGGAACAAGCATTCCAATTTATCTTGGATAGCTGTGAATCCAGCATATCTAAGTACACCAAGTTCCTTCAGGTGAAGATTACTACTCTCTTTGATTTCCTTTTCTTTGGCAAAGTTCCAATCCAAGATTAGTAGTCATTACAAAAGATTGATGATATTGATCGTGTTATGACTTTTCCGAACTTCTTCACAAAAACTTATATTTAGGGGTATTTGCAAAAACAACCTCTCTACTCTCACGGGTAGAGGTAAGGTCTGCTTAGATCCTATCCTAGTCCCTAGACCATACTTCCGAGTAGGGTATACTTTTGATGACACTGATCTTGGTATTTTGTGGTGTTTTGGTCTTTCGAATATTTAATTGATAGTTGGCAATTTCATCAAAATATTTTCTACAACCATTACTACAGGCAAGTGGGTCGATGGATTTGGATATAACATCTCCAAAGCAACTCAACCGGAAAGTGTTCCTTAAGCAGCTAGCCGTGGACTTGTGCAATAGTGAACAAAGGATTCTCTTTCGTGCCCAATACGTAAGGACACGTTTCGCTCCTTCTTATGCCCCGTTCTCTAGAGTCCATAACCCAAAGAATGGAACACACCTATTGTTGGAGTCTCACATTAGCTAGACACATACCATGAAAACCTCTATATATTAGTAGGTTCTTCCCCTCTCTCTTTCTATAAGGGATCTTTTACAGAGAGATTAAATGGGTTTCCATCTTAACATGGTATCAGAGCCATGTTTACCACATCTAGAGACTCAACATACTATTTCGCCTCCGTTCTAGGCACACCGTCCTTCTTTTTAGGGGGGATGTGTTGGAGTCCCATATTAGTTAGACATGGACCATCAAAAAGTGTGTATATGGTCAAGTTTAGATGAAAACCACAAAAAAGTATAAAAAGAAACCGAGGAATTCATATGTACGGTATGCACATGCATACAAGTGATTTGTAGGTAGTTTATCTGTTATGCACACGTGCATAGAAACCAAGAAACAACTTCAATTACTTGTATGCATACATGCATATCGTATAGATGAATGGTTACCAGGGTGTTCCTCAGTTTCATTTTTGGAGGGTTTTCCCCTAAACCTCCCCCCCTCTCTCTCTCTCTCTCTCTCTCTCTCTCTATATATATATATATATATATGTATATGTAGGGTCTTCCCTTCTCTCTATAAGGGTTCTTTTGGGGAGAGAGTCAATGGGGTTCCACATATCCTGAAGGCCTATGAACATCGTTGCTATCATTCGATGCTGACTCTCTTTTGCTGTGATTAATGACAGATATTAAGGAGAAGGTTAAGGGATATGAAGAGAGGTGAACTGAAGGCCCTAAGATTGTTTGATAGTGTTACAAAGTTCTTCAACAAATGAGTTAGCAGTTATAAACCCACAGCTTAAAATACAGGCATGAACATGTATATCAAGTTATTGTTCGATGGTTCTGCTTGTGCCTGAAATTCCTCAATGTTCCTTACACAAACGATGGTATTATGTTCTTGATTCCACTATTGGAGTCCCACAGTCGATTAGACTTGAATCATTTATTTTCTCTATATGTTGGAACCTTCCTTCTCAATGGCTCTTTTGGAGAGTAATTTAATTGGGTTCCACGTGTTTTAACATGGTATGAGAGTCGATGTATATCACTCTAGGATTCAAACACCATGGGCAATCTGTACTCATCTAGCCCCTCGCCCCTTGCCCCCTCTTGATACATCGTGCCCGTCTAGCCTCCATTGGATGGGGATATGTTGGAGTCTCACATCGATTAGACTTGAAATACTTTTTTTCTATATATGTTGAAACCTGTTTTATCTTCTCAATGACGATTTTGAAGAGTAATCGAATGGGGTTCCACATGTCTCACATCCACAATGACAAGTCTACAACCTACGGTTTGAAAAATCTTTAATCTCAAACTCACCCATGAATTGCCCTTGATACAGAAGTCTACAACCTACGGTTTGAAAAACTAGAGATCTTTTCTTACATTTCTCACCTTAACTTTCATTCTCACCAGAATTCAACAGTATTTATAAACATATAATAATTATTGATGTTGAATAATACTTAGGACCTAGTTCTTATAAGAACTATCATTGTGCATTTTTCTGAGTTTATAATTTAATGAGTTAAAAATAATGTGACAGATAAAATATAAGAAAGAGTTTCTTGTAATAATTTTCATTGATATCTCTAAACATTTAAGTACAAAAAAATAGTTCTTAACATACGTCGTTCGTCTTGTAGTAGCAAATGTTTTCTACCATTACCTTTAAGTGTAACTTATTTAAACCAATATTTGATTGGTTTAAGCTTAAGTACCAAAGGATTTTTGGCCTAGCGGTATCGTAGCCCTTAGCTTCCTCATGGGGTTCAAACCTCACCATATGTTAGGAGGGTGTGTGAGTTTATTTGTTGCATTTGCCGTATATAAATATTATATACTTAAAAAAAAAAGGTCAAAAATGTCTGAAGGTCCTAAGTTCAAATCCAAAGAGGAATAAAAATCATCTTATGGCTACAAAAGTGATTATGAATGTTTAAATTGTAGATGTAATCCAACGGTTGAGAATTGGTCTTACGGGTCTCACGAAAAACCCTTGATCTCATATGATTCCAAGTATATATATATATATATATATATATATATACCAGAAGGGTACTCGAACAATGCATCAAGACACATCTCAATTAAATGTTTTGTTTTATTCTTTATTTATATCGATATAATACAGTTTTATGTGCTTTTATGTTTATATTTTTTAATAAAATATAAATTTTAAATATCATAAAACTTTAAAAAGAATATATGATATTAGTATCAAATTAACTATTTAAAAATTTTTGTTTTGTGTAATTTCTTTAATTCAATTTTTTTTATTATAATTTAACTTTACGTAACGAAGTAATTTAATTTAAGTTTAATTATATAATCATTTATAAATATACTAATTAAGTATTCTGTTAGAACTCAATGATTATCCTAATTTTATTTTAAATATTTTATATTTAAAAATGAGATATTTATCCTGTATTTTAATTATGTTTATTTGTAGTTAGTTACACGAATTTAAACACAGAGCTTCAATAAGCTGTACTTATGCACAATTTACTTGTAATCTTGAATTTTAAGTAATATGTATCAATAAACAGTACTATATGCATAAAAAATGGTTTTTAAAAGTTTTTATCAAATATTTTATAATATAGTATAGATATAGAGAGAGGGAGAGAGAGGGCGCATATATATACGTAGAGGAGTGATTAAATGTAAATATACAAACCGTGCAAACCACTACTATCCATCGATCTTATTGTTTAATTTAATGATTTTATTTCATGAAATTAAAATTGTTTCRTATAATACTTTTCTAGATGAAGCTGTTTTATATATGGTTATGAAATTGTTTAAATGTATTTCTTTAACATTAATATAATGAAGATGATAATATCCATGATTAACATCATCCACAATAAAAATGATCAATCAACCTCTCATAATTACAAAAAAAAATAAAAAAAACATAATTAATTGAACGAGATTTATACGATTTGTAGAAATAAAATGGTTTCCAATATACCCCGTTAACACTGGAAAGTTTTTCATATATGTATATACTTACAGGAGCATATATACAAAGTCATTCACATAGATAGAGAGAGATTATACACATGAACACACATCTCCGATAAACACACAGTGATTAGAACTAATGGGCGGTTTACTAAAGGCTTATCTGGGTAAGTGCTTATCAAGTGACATTATCTTACCCAGATGAGTACGGTAAGTATCAATAATCTTATCAGGTAAGAATGAGAGAAGGACCAAGAGTCTTACCCGGTAAGTGAAGGGGACGACTCTTACCACGGGTAACACTTACTGGGTAAATTGTTGCATATGATGCCGTTTTTGTTAACTAACATCTTACAGAGTAAGTAAGTGATAGTGTTAAATTTTAAAGGTAAACACTTATCGAATAAGTGTTTGGTAAACGGCCCCTTTAAAACTCATTTACAGCTCTAAATAGGTTTCAAGCTATATCCATGGACAGTCCACAAACAGAATCAGTGACGAAAACCCATTTTTGACATAAGAAAACCATTGACCGAGAAGCAGAATTTAAATTGAAGATGAAACAGATATGGATCGATACATCTGAAAGGATGAACGAATCTGGATGAAAGAACGATATGTGTGTTTCGTCGATGGGTGTACGTTTCGTCTGAGTCGGGGTAAGGAAGGAGGCGTTTGTCGTCGGTTATCTCCCGTATGTTGGTTTGAAACAAATGGATCGACTTGTGTCTGTGTTTTGGACGATAAGAAAAACACATTACCTAAATGCTAACTCGTTAAGTGCTTACCGTCAGGAGTCAACACTATAATTCATTTTATTGGGTAAGGTTGTAGTGCATCAAAAACGTATTTCATGCAACAAATTTCCTGGTAAGCGCTTACCTGGGTAAGAGTCGTCACCCTCACTTGCCAGGTAAGACTCTCCATCCTTATCCTCGTTCTTACCGGGTAAGATTCTTGGCCCTTGCCATGTTGCTCACTACTTCCAACTGCTCTCTAAAAATCTGTAACAACTCCAACGTGTAAATGACATGGTCACGAATGCAGACTTGGGTCGGTTTCAGACCGGGTTGACCCATACCGACTCCGGTTTACACTTCACACCGTAATGGGTTGAGGAGCAGTGGTCAGAAATGTGAAGGGGGGTCACCGTGAGTGAACGGAGATGGAAGATATTGGGGAGGCCGTAGATGAATAACCTGTGGCCGGAGTAATGAGGAAGACGATGGGGGCGGTGACATGTGGCCGGAGCAATCAAGGAAGATGAAGACGGTTGGTGGAGAGAGGAAGAGATTTATGGTGGTTTAAGTAGTAATTCATATATAAAAGATAATTTTTAAGAGTTTTTGTTAAATACTTTTATAATATAGTATAGATGAATAAATTAAAAAAATATCCAATACGGAGCTCAGTTTAAAGGTATTGGTGATGCTATTATAATGATGCAACTTGCTAAAATAAAAACGTATTTTTAAAGTATTTTAGTTAATATACGATTATGTATATAAATATAATAAGAGTGTAAAGCGAAAAATGGAAAAACAAAAAACTTACCATAAATTAAATAATTAACTATAAAGATATAAAATTTAAGTATTATTATTACTATATGATATTTATAAACATAAATGGCAATTTTTAATGGGGGTTACGGTCTAATATTTATGAACTCTTTTTTTGGTAATTCTTAGGGGGTTTTAACAATTTTTTTACCGGGGGGTTTAACATTTTTTTTACCGGGGGTTACTTTGATTTTTTTTAGTGGGGGTTACTTTAGACCCTTGATTTTAGAGCTTCCTCGCCTTCTTTCAAACTAGTCCTGCTCCGCCTCTCTCTCTCTCTCTTCCGATACAGGCTAGTCCCTATATTTTTCTTCATTTTTTTTGGTGACATGTCGTCTTTTTTCTTGATTGACAAATAATGATTTTGTTACAGACAACTTCATAGACATGTGGCTTAGAGTATCGACAGTCTTCTGTGTTTATTTTAGGGTTTTCTAAGGTGTCGTTTGGTTTATAGAATCCATGAGATTTCAAGGGAATTGGAATGATCAATTCATTTCACGAAATTGCAGTTCCTTTTTGGTTCACTTTTTAATATTGATAGAATCTTTTAAATTAATGATATCATCATTATTTGGCATATCTGAAGGAGTTGAATTTCATTCATTTACACACACACACACACACACACATATATATATATACACACATATTATATAAAAAAATATTTATAAAATTATATACCGGGTATTGGGCGGGGATCCTCGGGTACCGTTTTAGCAAAGAATTTTCGTCCCCATTCAGGTCAGGTGAGTCGGATTCCCCCACTAGGTTGGGACAAATCACCATCTCTAGCCCCACCTCGTCATTCTGCCACCTGCCCACCACTCTCCACGTCACAACCACCACCTCACCACTTACCCTTGTTGATCATCATGCCACTACTCTCCACATCATAACCACCACCTCACCACTTACCCTTGTTGATCATCATACCACTACTTCGTCGTCACAACTACCACCAGACTCTACTACGTACCCCACCAACCACTAAGCCACTAGTGTTGTAGTCACAACTACCACCAAAACCCGTGCAAGTGGCTGGGCAAGGGAGGGGGTGGAGTTTTGGAGCCGGAGTGGGGTGGGTGGTAGCTATGACGACGACATTGATGGTATAACGATTCACCACCCATCTTCAACCACCATCATCATCATGTCACATATGCCCCCTCCCACCACCACCCACCCCTACAATTATGGGTTACTGTCGTCGTCACAGCTACCACCCTCACCCTCCTCCAAACAAATGTGGAGATTCTATTCAAATTCATACCAACCAAATACGTGGTCAAATTTCATTTCAATTATTTAAAAGTCAAATTCATTTGATGAATTTCAGTTTTCCAAATTCCATCATGCAAACTCAACACCCCATAACTTTTTTCACATCACTTTAAGTATCAAAATCAACAACTCAAAAATCCAATATCTCCATCATAACAAAAGAATTTGTTAGTCTCTTCCCAATTTTTTCATGTGTCCCACTATTTTTCATTTATATTATTTTTATAAAAATCAATGTATTGAAATTTATACAATACAGGTTTATTTACATCAAAAAATATTTTTAGTTTAAATTAGAGGTGTAAATGAGTCGAGTTTTTAACGAGCTACTCGAGCTTATTTATTTCGAGTTTGAGCTTAATAATTATCGAGCTCGAGTCGATTACGAACACAAACTAAAGCTTATTTAACCTAACGAGTCGAGCTTCATAACATTAATATTCGATTCGACTCGTTCAGAAGTTTGATTAAACTTTACGAGACGAGATGAACCACTCAAGCATACATTTTTTCGAATCAAACATATTTACATGCTTACAAATTATACAATTAAAATATAAAGTTATCGAGCTTGAGTAACTAAACGAGTTAATCGATCTCAAATTCAAGCTCATAAACACGTATCGAACTCGAGCTCATAACAAGTATCAAACTCAAGCTCAAACATGAAAAAGAACTATTCAAAGTCGACTTCGATTTTGAAAAGTTAATCGAGCTCGAACCTGATTTTTTCCAAGACGAGCTTGCATATGTAGAGTTCGACTGGTTTGCAATATCTTTTTTTTTTACATTATTTATTTTTACTAACTTATACATCAAACTTCTAGGTCATCTCTTTCGAAAGAAACCCTAACTCGAGAATGAGTTGCAGGATCACGACATTTACAGTCAGCAACCCTAACTGTAGCAAGTTATGGTCAAAGAAAACATCAATAAAGGCATTCTGTTCTTTTCGTTCATTGCGAGTTTCAGTCTCGGGTTACCCGAGAGGAATTGGCAATAGTTTACTGCACTCCTCTTCAAATTCCCGTTTCAGGTTGGCCGCGTCTCTTGAGTTGGTGAGTTGAAGACAATGCCTTCAAATAAATTACTTGTTTAATAACTTATAAAATGTTGCTTATATTTTTTTGACTAATTTTGTAGCATGGGATGAAGAATGAGATTCTGGTTGCTACTCCACCCAGTGATTCAGTAGTTGTTGATGAACTCAAAAATAAAGAGTGGGAAATTGGGGTTCTAAAGGATGAAATAGCTGCTATGCAGGGAATTCGTATAAGAAGAACACCCCCAACTGGACCTCCTGCTCACTATGTTGGTACTTTTGAGTTTTTACAGAATGAAGACAATACTCCTCGTAACAAATTAGAGGAAATTGTATGGACCAAATATGTGGAAGTTAAGGAGGTCCGTTCTACTTGATTCTTGTTTTACTTAGCGAAGATAATTATAAAGGATACACATGTATTCATGTCATAAATGAGTCTCAAACCCATTGACACTTGGTTAAGAGGCTCCACACCTTGATTCTTGAACACTGGCTCATTGTAGTAATTATATTCTTCCCTGCTAACGAGGACCCTTTTTTCAGATGAAGGAGAAAAATGCATTATCTTCACTAAAGAAAGCTCTCGACAATGCTCCTCCTCTGAGAGACTTTATAGGCTCTCTTAAGGAGTCATATTTACGAACAGGATCACCTGGTTTAATTGCTGAAGTAAAAAAAGCTTCACCTAGTAGAGGAGTTCTAAGGGAAAATTTTCATCCCGTAAGTTGTTTTTTTGATTTGATTCTTAATGATCTAAATCAATACGTTATATGATATGGTGGTGGAGCTTGGTGGTATATCTTTTGACCTGTAAAATCATATGGTGTAGTATATTTTTCAAGCATTAGATTTTGATTTATTAGTTTTGCTGCCAACTGCAATATACATTTGTACACTATACATACAATAGATTGCCATGGATTTTTATTTACACAAGTGCTACTAACACAGCTTTTAGATTATCTTAACCGACTTGAAGTTTTTGCTTGAACTTGCTGGATTACTGCTTAAATCTTTTGTATTTTCTCAGTTTATTAGCTGAATCCAATTTGAATTGCCTCTCGAAATTTTCACAGTTTTTTTACCATCTCTCGCACTTCGCTTCTTTCTCTAGACCCTCTTCACAGTAGTAGCAAGGATGAGAGTTTCAGGCTCTTATCTGCCTTTATAGCCTCAATTCAGCTAGTGCCTAGTCTAACTCTTATAAATTTTCTATTGGGATTAAATCACGGGCCTTAATTCAAAATCTTCATCCAAAATTAAATTAATAATTCAACATGGCAAAAAATATCATTAATTTATCTTACACCATCTAAAATACCTGATATGTACCCAAAAACGAAATATTGACAGGCGTTAAAATTCACACATACGATGATTTGATTTCCTAAAGAAGAGAAAAGCCTTGAAGACACATGCATACTCATGTTAAGTCTCAGGTACATCCATGTGAAGAAGTTTAAAGTCAAAGGAAGCACAGCAATAACATTTGAAGTCATAAACAGGTGCCAAAGTTGAGATGAAGAAATGTGGAAATTATAGTAGCGAACTTAAATATTGTAAATTAATTTTATAAATGAATGGTCTGAATATGAACTTCTTTTTCTAAGATTGGAGATCCACACTAAAAGAGAAGTATATTAGAAAAACTTCTAGCAATATTTGGAAACCAACCAGAAATAGATTTACTAGAAAGAAAACAATTAAATCACTCTTTCAGAGAAGTATTGAAACAAATAAGTAAATCAATTAAAAGAAGATATAATAATTTGAGAGATAGAATGAATGATTAAAAAAATCCAATTAGCGGCTTAGGTAGCAGAAACCATGCAATCAGTTGATATTTATGCATGTATATATGTATATGTTTGCATTTAGTCTTTGTGTGTATTGACAAACAATTTAGTTATTATAAAGAAAAACTTTGAAGACACGTGAGCATGTGTAGTCGCATGCACACCCACGTGAAGAAGAAAAAATCAAAGGAAACACATGCAAAACCATGAGAAGTCTAAACAAGTACTTAAAAGTTTAGAGAATAGAATTAGAAGGTAAAGGAGCTTGTGGAAATCGTAGTAGCAAACTTGATTATTGTTAATTAGTAATAGTATATTGCAAAGGAATGGTTTGAATGGTGATGTTCTTTCAAGAGCCATACTTTTATTTTGCGACTTGATCGATGAACTTCCAGATCCACATGAAAAGAGAACAATAATACTATTAGAATTTTTTCTTGAAAACATTGGAAACGAATAGAAAATAGATTTACTAGAAAGAAGACGATTAAATTACTCTTTAAAGAAGCATTTGCATAACCTGCAGAAAGTGGTATGTATATATAACTTCAATAATGAATGAAGAACAAGAACTAAATATATTATTAGATGGTGGGGCAGATGTGAATGGCATCAAAGAAGGATTGATTCCTACTTAATACTTCCAAAAGACCAAATTTAAAAATAGCTTAACAACAACTAATGAATATAAAAATTATGATAAGTTATAACTAATAACAGAGTCAGCCGGGGGGGGGGGGGGGGTGTTACCATTCAAGTCAACTTTATACAATAGAATATGACACATATTTTGGGTATTCTAGATGGTTTAGTTGGTTGTTAGGAATTGGAAAGCCCTTCATTCGAATCCTACGGCCTTTCCCTTCCCTATCATTTTCTGTAACTTTTTATTTAATCGTCTGTTCTTTTTATTCTTTTAAATTTTTATAAGTATGCATATTTTAATATTTATCTTTTTATTGTCAATAATATTTTTATTTTGCCCTTTCATTTACAAACATTTTAACAAAAACATTATTACTCTAAAAATCAACATAAACTAAATCAATATTAATATCATGTACAAAGTTCATAACAAGGTTCTTATAATGTCATTTTTTGGTCCATAGATTTTGATAATTTTATTTTCGTTCCCCGAGTTATGTAGTCTGTTCATGTATATAATATATAATATAGATATTTATATTGACGTCATTTATATTATATATATAAATTAGTGAAAGTATGATGATAAAAATATATTTTGGACTTCAATTAACATTATAATATATAATATCTATCTCTATCTAACAGGCCACAAACAAAACTCGCAGTATTCATATTTTAGTTTTCGTTTTTCTTCTACAATCTCTCAAAAAAAAATTAATAATCCACCCATTACAACTCAAATTTCCTCTCAAAGTTTCATGAGACTTATTACAGCCAAGATTAATTGCATCTCACACATTTTCATAATGTTTGAATACCTTCAATCGGCAAGCTGAGTCCATTTCGTTTGACCTCTTCTAGCTCCCCATGCCTAGAAGGCGGGCTCCGCCCTTGATAATTATCTAATACTAGGAACACCTTTTCTTTCATTAATAGATGAGATGGGTTGTGTACAAATAATTTGAACCTTAAATGCAAATTATGTTTAACTTCTTTTTCAACCTTCAATCACACACACACACATATATTATATATAGGCGAAGGATCGTGTGAGAAGGAGAGTTAAGGTGAGAAGCATAAGAAGAGATCTGGACCTTTGATCACCTTTAATCTCAAACCCAACCATGAATCACACTTGATATAGGGATTGATCCGGTGCATTCTGTGCATCTCATCCTAATGTGCATCTAAGGGTGGAGATCCCTTCTTTAGCTTCTCACTTTAACTTTCCTTCTCACGGAACTCAACCCTATATATATATTTATACGGGAAATTGAATGAAAACCTCATAGTCATTAAGAACCAATCTTAATAATTCAATGAGTTTCATCTAAGGCTAGGATTCAAAGTGGTATTATTGTTTCATATATAAAAGAATATATTATTGTTTCACATAAATTATACTTGCTTCACTAGTTCTCATGCTTCTCAACATTTTTGGGTTTTTAATTGCTATTACCCAATCATTTATTGAAGATGAAAGTCTATTGAACCCGTATGAAGTTTTACCATGAGCAGATTCGAGCATAGCACATGGTTTCATAAAACCACTTGGTTTTCTCGATCTAAATCAAGTAAGTTTTACATGAAGAAGATTTGGATCAATGTGTTCTATTCGATATGGAAGTCAGAATAGGAGAGCACTCATCTTGGGGTGGTCTTACTACATAAGATGACTTAATAAATTAACAATCTCGATTAAATAATACTTCGATCCTGAGTCAAGATCAACGTATTGAATTAATAATTTGCCAAATTTATGGAATAATATTTTTCAGAAACAACACATAGGTCCTACTTAATAAATTATGTACTAAACTTATATAATTGTTAAACATTCATTGTTGACGGTTCTTCACACTTATTTTTTTGTTAGTTATATAAGATTGTTCTCATGATAGGTTGAAGTTGCAAAAGCTTATGAGAAAGGTGGAGCAGCGTGCCTAAGTGTTTTGACCGATGAAAAATATTTTCAGGTAGATATTGAGAATGTCATGTTAGATTTAACTAATATTTATGGAGTCTTTTATGTATATGTAATATTTCTTTGTTTATAACCAAAGGGAAGCTTTGAGAATCTAGTGGCTATACGGAATGCTGGAGTCAAGGTACAGTCTTTTGATTAATTTGCTGCAGCTTGTGAACTTTAGCCACTTTTGACACTAGTTAAAATGCAGTGCCCTCTTTTGTGCAAAGAATTCATTGTGGATGCATGGCAACTCTACTATGCTCGAACAAAGGGTGCCGATGCTGTTCTGTTGATTGCTGCTGTTTTACCAGATATTGACATCAAATATATGCTTAAGATATGCAGAAAGATTGGACTGGCGGCACTTGTTGAGGTTTTGTGAAAAAAACTCGTCTTAAAAAGTCAGAATTTACCTTTTACTTTCTTATGATTCTCATTTCAATCTACTTCACATGGTTTGGTAAATTGAAGCTTATTTGAGTTATTTGTTTATGTTGTAAATGAAAGTTTTTGTAACTAGCATCTATAACCATTTGATCCAGCTGTTCAACCCATGAAACCCTGTTTTTAAGATTCACCCGTCAACCCATAAAGTGTGAATATCCATGACGCTCTTGTACTTTATCTTCGTAATATCTTTTTATTTCAGGTGGTTTATCCAAAAACTGACTTTTTTATGTGAATTGTTTTCTTGACTTTGTGTTTCATATTTTTCTTAAATGATCTCTTTATGTTCTTAGTATTAAATTTGAATTTTTTTGTGCAATTTTTTGTAGAATATTTTCAAATCTTTATATTGTTCGAGTGTTTAACACATTATTTATGTCATTATCATGTAAAACCTTTTTTCATTTAATTCTGAGGTCATGACTCGGTAATCTAATCATAGTTGACCATGATTTGTCCTGCCATCCACTCTCCGGGGCATTGGACATTCTGAGTTTTGAACACTTGATCTGAGTTTTAAGTGTTAACCCATTGACCCATGATTGGGTCTGAGTTTTAAAGATTCACCCATTGACCCATATACTGAGAATATCCATAACGTGCTTTTACCATATTTTGAAAATGTTCTTTTCATTGTTTACTTGGTTTTAATTAAAAACCCGACTTCTGTAAATGAACTGTTTTTCTTGACTCCCTTCTTTTTCATATATTATAAATGATTTCTTTTTGTCTTTCTGATGTTAAAATTGAATTTTGATGCAAGTTTGCTTTCATTTTGTAGAAAATTTCTATTTCTTTGTATTATTCCAGTATTAATAATTATGCTATGTTAAATTTAATTTTTTATTTCACCAGTTCGACCATAACTGATCGTAATTAACTAGCGACCTGTTTGGCCATTGACTTTCAAGGTTTTCTAACAGTCTGGAAATATCAATGAAGCAACTGACCTTTTTTCCTGGGTGATCTCTGTCTTTATTCTTAGGTACATGATGAGAATGAAATGGATCGCATGCTTGCAATTGATGGAATTGAACTCATTGGCATCAACAATCGTAACCTTGGTACCCCCTAAGCTTTATGGCTTATGATTGATGATCATTTATTTTTATCATCTTTTGCTGGTTTTGTTAATGCATCTGTGTTGGGACAAAAGTATTTAATCTTGCAAGTGCACGGGGCCAACTAGTAAAATAGTTTTGTGAAGAACCAGATATTGATCCAATAGCGACTATTCTATTCGTGTAATTGTAATAGTTTAGCAAAATAAATCAGATAGTCAATTTGGTTTGGGGTTTTTATCAACTAAAATGCATAATTTAATAACTAAACTAGCAAATAACTAAGATCGACTAATTCAAAATTTAACTCGATCAAAGCTCTTTAAACACACCAAACAATCAATAAACATGCAATAAATTTGAATTAGAAGATATAACAAATGTGATTCAATTGAGCAAAGGTCCCTAGTTCAAGTCATCCAACCTGTTGAATCCATAAACGCTTACATACATATCTAGCTAATACCATTTCAAAAGTGTCAATAATCTTCCGATCATGTTGAACTCACTAATATATGCATACCCATATAATTATATTTATGGTGCATACACATAAGTGTTCTAAGAAATATGATGTCTAATTTGATGCAATGGCTTATATATGCCTATACGAGCTTAATTCATTGTTTTCACAACACAAGTTGCATTTCATTAATGAACATCACATTAGAAAACCATTCTTGTCATTATTCTAGAAAAATAAACCAGTTAAATGTTTGTTAGGCATTAATCATCAACCAGTTATAAGCACGACTCATGAACAAACTAAACATGTATTTGACATTAGTTTCAATCAACAAAATAGATTTTCCGAACTAGTTCACCATTCGGTTGATTCTCAATATAAAACTACTCATGCATTGGATTAATTGAAAGAAACATTGAGCATATGATATTCAACATTCTTAACAAAGCCAAATTCACAATAATCACTCACAATTGTTCAGAAGTGTACTTAAAAACAAAATAAAACACATGTTAGAGTTGAATTCAAGATTTGTATCAATGCTTTTCCGTTGCATCATGTCAATCTCCCTTGCTTCTAATCAACTTGTAAGCAATGTAGTTAATCATGCTGCTACAATGTCTATGTCCATGGAGTGAATAGCGGGAAGCAATTGCGGTGTCGTTAATAGTGGCGCTATTATCGCGATTTGAAGGAGAAATAGTGGTGCCAAAGCCGCTATTTAGTGGCGGTTGATTTATTATTTTATTTGGGCCATTTAGTGTTAGGTCTTAAAATCGGTGGGCTCTTTCTCCTTTTTCCCAAGACCTGGGTTCCTTTAGGTTATCACCTCTTTTCTTTGTTCTTTCCTTCTCTTATGTCACTTATGTTCGTTTTTTTCTTATCTCTTATCGTCGCTTCCGTCTATTCTTTTCTTCTCTCACAACATATCATCGACATCTATGGTGTATATATAAATGTTTATACTTATTATGTGAACCTAATATATATATATATATATATATATATATATATATATATATTTGTATGTGAACTTTCTCACACACACACATATATATTTAGGTTCATAATATATACACCATGTATGTCGATGATACACTGAGAGAGAAGGAAAAAACAACAGAAATGGTGATAACCTAAAAGAGCCCCAAGGTCTTAGAGGAAAAGAGCCCATCGATTTTGGGCCCAACACTATATATATATATATATATATATATATATATATGTATATGTATGTTTAAACCAAACTAAACTGGGCTAGTAAATTCCACTTGAAAGTAGGGTGTGGGAGGAGTGAGATGTATGTAGACCTGACCTCTACCTCAAAAGAGTAGAGCAATTGTTCCCTGAAGACCCGGACTTGGGCAAGCAATTAGAAAGAATAAATACTAGCATGAGGTAGGCGAATCATGATATAAATAAGTAAGAAAAAGTAACGATACAGTACAACAAAAACATAAGAAAAGGCAAGGAAAGGAAAGCCCATATTGTGAAAATAAGGCACAAAACACATGCCTAGTCTAAATTGCCGGCCCATAACCCCCCACCTACCAGAAAAAGTGTCCTAACTCTCTTTAGTCCAACTAAGCAAGTCATGTTCCTCAAACCTACCCTGCTACTCTAGTACTTCGTCTCCAAGTACACCTTTCAGAGATCATGTCCTCGAAAATGTTTGAGGCCACCATGTCTATCCCCAATTGCTCATCCCACGTTCTCTTCGGCCTACCCTTTTTCCTCACCCTCTCGACCAACACTCTTTCCACTCTATCATTGTGTCATAATCGGTCTCTTATGAATGTGCCTAAACCGATGCAATCTCCCATCTTTCAATTTATATATTATTGGGACAACTCCTAACTTCCCCTGAAAATCTCATTTGGGATTATGTCTGGCATGGTCCAACCAAAGGTCCAACTTAGCATCTTCTTTACCGCAACTTCCAACTTTCTCTCAATGGCCTTCCTTGTGGCTCAATATTCCGACCCATACAACATAGTTGGTCGAATGGCTACATTGTTGAATTTTCCTTTCGGTTTTGCAAGGACCTTCTTGTCACATGGTACCCTTGTTTGCCGTGACAACTCTTCACTTTAGCCACCTTGCTTGTGTTACGGCTTCCTCTCCTCGCCCTCTTTTTTGATGGAGCCTAGATACTTGAAGTATCTTTTGTCTCCCAATGTTGATTCTTAACCCCTCATCTAAGCAATCCCCCCTGAAATTGCACCCTATGCATTGTGTCCTAGAATGCTAATTCGCAAACTTTTGAGTTTCTAGAGCCGTTTTCCGCTGCTCCAACCTCTAGTTGACCTCTACTTTTGACTCTACTCTATCAACAAAATGTTAACAACAAGTAACATACATCATGGGACACTCTCTGTATGTCTCATGCATTGGTGTCCAAAGACAAGTCCTCGTCCTCCAATTCTTGTGTTTGTATCGCCCTAACATACCTCCAACTCCAAGATACTCCCCTTCTCTAGGTTCCCATTCACGTCACGTCCTGAGGCACTCTATCATTAGTTTTTCCTAGATCTATGATGGAAGTCCTTACCACGCTCCCTATACTTCTCCATAAGTCACTTGAGTAGATGGATTGCCTTATTGACCTCCCTGCCATGAAGTCAAATTGGTTTTCTGTCACCTTCATTCATGTCTCACCCTGTTCTCTTTCGCCCTCTCCCACATTTTCATTGTGGCTTAGTAGCTTAATGCTGCGATAGTTGCCACGACTCTGCGCTTCACCTTTGTTTTTATAGAGTGACACTGCGACGGTAAGTCTTTACTCTTCGGGCATCCTGGCAGTCTTGAGGATGACGTTGAAGAGCTTTGTCACGGTGTCACCTACCTCCCCTAGAAATATCGATATATCAGTGGGGATATGGTCCGGGCCTTTGGCCTTATCCTTACCATCTTCCTTGGAGCATCCGTGACTAACCCTATGCTAATTCGTTGATGAACACATAATTGCATGTTTGACGAAGTACCCCTACCCCCTCTCCCTCTATAGCCCAGTCATTCTTTACTAAGTATTTATTATATGCCCCTAATTTTTTTACTGCTATACCAACCGTTTTACCAACGTGATAACCACTATGTCAAATCACGATCCTGACTGCGATTTCAGAAAAAAGTGTGCTTTAACTGAATAGCTTGTGAGTATATACTGTATACTCCCCTGCTTTGTGCACCTGAATAGTACGTCCTCTGTGCACCCGTATTTACCCAGTATACTCCCCTGCTCTGTGTTTGATATTGGGTAGCCAAATTCCCTTTTCGCTTGAACTTTGCACGCCCAGATGTGCGTACCAGTGTCTTCATCCAGCAGCCATCACCTGTGTGCATTTTCTGTTTTCCAGTTGCTCACTGTTGTATTCTGTAATTCAGAACCTCCTGTGCAAAGTTTTTAATTGAGAGCGCCCCCTCCAGTAGCCACCCCGACATAGGGGCCGCTGCATTGCTTCTGAAACAAGGGCTGCTGAATTGGTTTTGGGTCGTTGATCAACCGTTCTTTGTGCTACAGTGTTTTGACAGCAAAATCTTGCTGTTTGGGGACTTGATTGCAGCTGATTATGGACCACTTCTGATGTTGCTTCGGCTTGGTGCTTTCTCGCAGCTGCCACTACTGTTCTTGTGCTCTCGAACATGTTTCGAGTCCTGCTGAATTAGCAGCCTCTTCTCTGAATCGTCTCTTGAGGTTCCTTTATCTCAATCTGTCGAGTTCTTTGTCCATATCTCCTCCCTGATTTGATCCTCTCTCATGTCACTCTTCTGCACCAACATTCAAATGTATGAATCAAACACAAAACGATTTAGACTTAAACATCCACGATGATCTCCTGCCAATTTAGCTTGAGATGTTGTCTATTTAGGATTAAGCATCATTAAGAATAAAGATACACATGTTAGCACATTCAAACACTTCTATGCATGAAACTCACATCAAAGATCAATCATAGAGATGAAATATGACAACTAAAACTCATTATAAGTTCATATAGGGTTCGTCTGGTACGTGATATAACCGTACAAGATGGAACAGCACAGGACAGAAACTTCTTGTCCCACATGTGATGTGACAATCGACCGCGACAGGACAGGATTAAGTGGGGGCAAAAATGCTTTTCTTTTTGTCCCACTAATATAGATGGAGCAAAAATCAGATGAATGGGACAAGATGGGTAAATTACTAAACTTCCCATGTCAAATAAAAACCCTAAAGCCCTACGCAATTTTTTCATTCGCCTACCTCACTCTTGCCCGTTGAGTTCTATCCACGTACAAAACGCACCCATGACTAACTATAATCCTATGATACCTTAAAACTTCATGAATAGATGTAAGAACAACTTATTTCCACACCTGCAGAAACATTCGAAGTCGATATCAGTAACACAAAGAAGTTGCTTGAAGGTGAGCGTGGGGAGAAGCTTCGGCAGAAAAACATAATAGTAAGTGCAACTGAAAGAAGCTGTTTTGAGATAAGAGAGTAGTGATATTTTTCTGCTCAAATTGTTTGTGATGATTCGATTTCATCTTTGAACTTGTCAGGTGGTTGGGGAGTCTGGACTGTTCACTCCTGCTGACATTGCCTACGTACAAGAAGCTGGCGTGAAAGCTGTAAGTCGCTGCTCTCTTTGTCTGTTTTTACAACCCAAAAGTAATATCAATATATAACCATCTACTGTGATCAATGTGAGAGATTTAGTTCTTGTTGAACGTGAATCCGAGTAAAGACTTGGAGGGCGTTTTTTGTCATCTAACATATGTTGCTTTACTTATGCAGATATTGGTCGGGGAGTCCATTGTAAAGCAGGAAGATCCAACAAAAGGAATTAGAGATCTTTTTGGAAAAGATATATCGGCTTAGTTACTCTGGAGAAATTGGATCTAGAGCGTAAAATATAACTGAATTTTGTTTTGTATTACTATTCAAAATATGAGTATTGGTTTGCTTCGGTTCTAACACCAACCATAAACTAAGTGCAACGACCAGGGGACCAATGGCACTGTCGCAACAATCAAGATTTATAAGTTGTGTTCTTTCTTCCCAAGTCTCACCTTACTGCTGAGATTGAAACATCCCTTTCAAGGATGCCTCACCTTTTCTTTCAGTTTTCCCAGGTCGTTGTTCTATAAGTTGTTTGTGTTGGGTCGTTGATTTCACTGTTGTCTGTTGACTGGCTTATACAAAGATATTTGGTATTTCAGTGATTTCATATTGTTGTCTTACTTTGTTTGTTGTGGTATTTTGCCAACTTCACTGTTATCAGTAGAAATGGATGTTCAATTTGTGTTCTAGAATGGTCCAAGGCACCAAGCTACATATGTGTCCTAGAGTACCTTGGAGAACATTCGACATTCTTATACAGGTCCCTAGATCTTCATAATAAAATCCAGAGCCAACCTTTTTAGGGTTGGTTAATTTTGATCCACTTAACCTTCCCTGGACTTTTCTAATCTGTTGACCATCTTTTTAAAAAAATTCATAGGAGGTTAATTTTCTTTCTCCATGGAAAAAAGAATTTCATAACAATATTACATTTAAATGTCTAATTAGCTTGGACGCACCTAGATTAATTTCATGGGGTATCAAGTCAACCGCCTGTCCAGGGGCCCATCTCTGGGGAGCAAAGACAAACCGTCCATGGTCTTAATTTGAACTGGTGATCTCTGGAAGCAAAGACAAACCATCCACTGAACTAATGATCTCAAGGTACCAGATTCTTAGGTTTTCTTGAACATCCTGACCCTAACTTTTACTTTGGAAAACTTATTAAGTTGCAACATTTTCTTATTACCCAAGTTCAACCTGAAATTTGATATACACATTTTGTTGGAACAAATGGGGTATAATTTCAAATTCAATTGTTGATATGTGTTTAATTTTGTTTGCAGTTGCGAAAGGTAGCTTAGGTGATCTTATTCATCGCTATAGTTCATCAGATGAATTTTCACCCGAATATCCGTTGGACTGCTTTGACTTATATCCTCTGAGCATCAAGCTCTGGACCATGTGGAGGCCTCAATCTACATATGGCGAAGAAAAGACAGCATGAAGCCTGTAAACGTGGTGAGTAGGTCCTTTTCAAGGTCAAATTTGAGGATTTGATAGCCATGGGAAACTCTAGCAGATAGAGACGAGAGCCTCTTGCTTTGCTTGAACCAGAGGTTCCCTGCCCTTTCTCAAACCACCTAAAATCCAATATACCAAGGTATGTGTCTTGACCTCCTGCATACATATACACAGATTTACATATATGCATGTATACATGAGTGAGTGTGTCTATAGGAGGTCCTTCTGGTCTTACCCTTCTAAAACCCTCCATTTTTGTCCCATGGTCTTGTAGAGATATTTTGTTGACTAAATTTTAGTAGCTGAACACATTATCAATCAAGAACAGTAACAAAATTGGTAGGTTCCATACCCCTTCCATTTAGCCTTTCTGCCTAGGGCTTGACAACCCCCAAGGCCGGAGGAGGATCTAGGTGTACCTCTAATGAGGAATGAGATATTTGAATTTCCTTTGGACTGAGATGGCACTCCTTTAACGAGGTTAAATGCAGAACAGATATAAGCAGATAGTATTGTATAACAAGATAGAGGATTCTTGATATATTCTACTCAAACTTGGCATTCGGATCTTGGGACGGAGATTTGGTAAGAGGGCCATGAGGAAGGTACATTAGCATGCTTGAAATGTATTAGACGCCATGATCAGGCTGGGTAGAAATCATATAGGGTGTAATCTAAATTAATGATATCAATGGACATTAAATTATTTGAGTTAGTTTAATTCTTTCTGAAGATTTTGAACTAAAGCCCATGATTGAATCCCAACAGAAAATTCAAAAAGAGTTGGACTGGGCATGCACTAGCTGAATTGAGGCGTATACTATAAAGGCAGATGAGAGCCTGGACTATTCTTGCTTCTACTGTGGAGAGAGTCTAGAGAGAAGCAGAGTGACAGATAGTGAGAAGTCTGAAATATTTCAAGGACCGGCAAATTCAAGTTGGATTCAGCTAATAATATGAAGAAATACTTGAGATTAAACAGTAATCCAACAAGTTCAAGCTATGCTAGTAGTACTTGAGTAAATCAAAGTATGTGGCTATCTATTGTGTGTGTATAATGTGCACATGTATGTTTCAGTTAGTAGCAAAACTAATAAATAAAAGTCTCATGCTTGAAAATATACTACATCATGTGGTTTAATGGGTCGAAATATATACCACCACCTTATCATGTATTGATTTATGAAAATCTTAAAGAATCAAACAGAAGAGGCACTTACAGGATGAAAATCTTCCTTTAAATCTCCTCTACTAGGTGAAGCCTTTTTTACTTCAGCGACTGTTTGTATACACTAGACCTTAAGAGCTCCTATAAAGTCTCTGGGAGGAGCATTGTCTATAGCTTGTTTTAGTAAAAACAATGCATTTTTCTCCATCATCTGAAAAGGGTGCTAATATTAGCAGGGGAGAAGATAATTACAACAATAAGCAACTGTTCAATAATCAAGGAGATTGACCAATGGCCTTTGGCCTAACTGTTCTTGTTGAATCAAGGAGAACGGACATGGTAACCTCTACGTATTTGTTCCATACGATTCCTTTAGTTTTGCTACGAGGAGTATCATCTTCATCCTTGGCTAAACATTTATATAGTAAAAAACAAAAAAGTTATTTGAAAACAGGCAACATCGGTTGTATAGAAGATTTTGGTAAAGAGATTTTATTTGCTTATAAAAATTAAGTTATACTACAATCACAGTGATGTTGTTTTCAACTTCAATAAGTTCCATTGTTGCATAACACCAACTTCAATCAAAAGTATCAACTAAATACCCTAAAAATTTACATCAAGAACATTATTCGTTCAATTCTATTATATATTAATATATATATATATATATATATATAGCTGGTCCATAAACATAGTTAGTTTGATGGCTACCCTTATAATTTGCCCTTCAAATTTTATTGGGGTCTTCTTGACACAAAACACCCATTGTGGCATCTCTTCACTTTAGCCACCTAGCCTTTGTGCGATGCATTGCATCTTCCTCAACCTCGACCTCTTTTTAAACCATGGAACCTAAATACTTGAAACTGCCGTTTGGGTTATCCGTTGCCCCCCAATGTTGAATTCTACTCCCTTCTATATGCTCCCCCTGAAATTACACCATAAATATTCTGTCTTAGAACGAATAATTTGCAAACCTTTTGTTTCCAAACCGCCATCCATTGATCCAACCTCTCGTCCGCTACATACACAATGTCGTCATCGAATAACATACACACAAGGGACACACCTCTCAATCCCCTGGGAGATCTCATCAAAAATCACAGCAAAAAGAAATGGGCTTACCATGATGTACGTATATCTCCACGGGGAAATACTTCATCTCACCCACTGTTTAATACAAAATTATATGTATGCAACTGCTTTACATAATATTGTTTTTGTCTTTGTTAAATATTTATCCAAAACTGTAAAAGGACAAACTAATAAGTCAATTACAAGTATCACACAGGTACACTAATATAGAAAATTATACAACCACAATGGGTTGAATCTCTTAAACTCTCATCTGGTCTTCAATAATCTTTTCAACAAAAAGGATTCCAAACAAGTCTCAAGTTATCCAACATAATTTAGATCATAAATACATAATATGCCAAGTATTTCCAAGATCACAGTTGGAACTTTGTGCAGTGATTCGTCTGAGGAGGCTTTGTGCAATTGTGCAGTGAATGAAATCTTAAACAAGATCACAGTTGGGATTTGGGAAGTGAGTTTACAAATTACAGAGTACTACTTAATTTAGAACACAAGTACATTATATGCTAAATATTTCCAAGATTTCAGTTAATGAACAAGATCACAGTGGGACTTGGGATTTGATTTTGGGAAGTAAGTTTACAGTAGAAGATCAAGTGGCATTTCAATCTAAACAAATGGGGAAAATCACTAAACCCTAAAAAAATTGATTACTTACTGTCGTACTGAGGGCGTGAGTCTTGACTGGTGCCCATTGGGAAGCAGCCGAGCGAGCAGCCAGCAGTGCTGCAACGTTGACCTGAGTCCTGAGCAGCAGAGCGACGGTGACCTGTGCAGCGTGCAGAGGTGAGTCAGATTTGGATTTTGACTAGTCTAATTCGATTTCATGTGAGGCTGTGAGGGTTCTAGACCGAGGGGAAGGACAACAGGGAATCAAACTACAAGATACAAAATGCAATTTTTTTAAAACACAAGCGAACATGAAATCGTCGGTGGAATCCATGACCAGATCAAGAGAGATGGCAGATGGAGACGAACAGATCGAGACGGGCAGATCATAAGACAATTATGAGCAGATGCTTTGAGGAGAAGCGGGTTGCGTTTAGGAAGGGTCGGCGGCGAGGACTAGGAAATGATAACAATTAGGAGCACATCAATTGATATGACATCAATTTTTTTTAATTTTAATATTTGATGGCCGGCATATACCTCTGAATTAAAGAATTATAATAATAATAATAATAATAATAATTAAATGTTATGGTTAATACAGCAATAATAATTATTATTTGACACTAGTATTATAATATAGTAACAGTCAACTGGGAAATATTAAATACATTATACTAAAAAAATGATACAAAAATTTGACGATTAAGAAATATTGAGTTTCTTGAATAAACTAGCATGTCTATAAAATATTACGAGTATCTATACTAGTATTATTACAGATCTGTAGTTCGATGCCCATATGTAGTTGACGGATTTATAATTATAATTTCTACTAATTTATTCAACATAGATTTTATTTAGGGTATCTCATGGATTTTTTAGGGTTTAGTGCTTTAAGATATTTGTTCATGCATGAATTTTTGTTATTGTTTTCTCATGACCTTATTTCATTCAATCTTGTATGTTTTGGTGGCACGTGATATATTGATTGGTTTTTGACGTGATGACTATCTTGTATGTAGTCCTGAACAAACAAATTAAGCTTTGAGACTTTTTGTTTACTCTAATATGTGGTGTGACATCTTATAAAACGTTTTGATGGATACTTCATAGGACATTTAGTAACCAGTAGTAGGATACTACGGGCATGTCATAGTGGCATCAACAACATAACATCGTCATGGGGGTGTGATATCCTAAGACATCTGCCTCTTTGGGAAATGTACTAGTAACCTACTTCTTGTTATGATCTTTTTTGTGGTTGTGTGATTTAATAATCATATACACCTTTTAATTTTAGATAAATGTGAATGTGCATATGCATTATGTCATTTTTTTGTATATGATATGATTTTTGTACCACGTATAATACACATATAACATAATGCATTATGTGGATTATGTTTTGTAGGGCACTGTATAAATGTACTTAACCATATTGTCACGTCATGTAAGAAGGTAATCCAAAGAGGTCAGGTTATTCTAAACAATTCACGGCCTTAAAAGAGCAGTCAAGAAGAACAAGGGGTTGTTTGGTTGGTTTTCCATTAAGTCATGTATGGATAAAACTGTCTGTGTAGGTTAATTCATCTGAATAGATTTGGAAGATTTTTGTTTGGGAGGGTCTCTTTCATAGATGGAATGGAAGGAGGAACTTTTTTTTAATTGGGAGGGGCAGATTTGGAGAACACTTGGCTTTTTGCATAAAGCTTCCCCCTAAAATTTTACTGAATAAGCTACTTTCTATATAATTAAGCTACTACCAAACAGTCATGCATAGATGCCCGAATAAGCTGTGAGTCCCATTAAGCTTATTAAGCTGCTAACAAATAGGCCCACGCATATTCTAGAAAACTCCTCACATTTTTAGGGCTAACGTGTCTAGATTGTTTCCTTGTAAATGTCTAAGTAGAATATTTTAGACTTGTACATAGAGACTTATGAATAGATGGTACTCAACCATATGGTTTTCTAGGTCAATAAATATCACCATCATATCATGTATTGGTTTATGAAGATCTTAAAGAATAAAACTGAAGAGGCAACTTACAAGATGAAAATATGATAAGATCTCAATTGAAGTTGATTAGAATAATCGAAATGGAAAGAACTGGAGTTATTGGAATTTGAGAGCCAGATCTCTCCCACTACAAAGTTGATAACGGAATAATCGCATGCCCCCTATTTCCTCTTCTCCGTTCTTATAAACTGGGCCAAGCAACAATTACAAAACCACCCCCTCTATTTTACTCCCCTTTCCTTTATACTTCCTTCTTGTATATGTCTGCGCTAACTGAGGTTTATCAATACTCACCTCCCGACGATTCACCTTGTCCTCTAGGTGAATCCTAGGAATTGTTGACATAAATCCTTTCAAGACTCCTAGGTGTCTTCAACTGGTATCTCTTTCTATCCAGTGAGTACTTCTAAATTGCTCCTTTGACTATAACATATCCCCTTCAATGTTTCCGGCTCAACCATCACTTCTCCCATGTCCGGCAGCCCGTGAGGCAGAGGTGTTGGAGAAAACTGATTTCGGTATCCCATGTAAACGGACAACCTCCTTCACAAACACCCATGCTACCGTACCTGCTCTAAACTGATGTTTGAGTCCAATGAAATGACCATATTTAGTCAGTCTGTCTACCACCACAAGTAGGGCGTTAACCTTGTTTGACAACGGTAGCCCCTGCACAAAAACCATTGACATATCTTCCTACACTTGACTCTGAATACTCAAGTGTTGTAATAGTACAACAGGTGATAGATCAACGTTTTGTTATGTTGACATATTTGGGAAGTTGCCACATATGTCTTGATGGTTCCTTTCATGCCTTCCCACCATACGTTCCTTAATTCGTTGATACGTTTTTTAAGAATCCCGAATAACCTCCAATGACTTTGTCGTGGTAATCTGCTAGAATCTGTGAAATTAATTCAGATTCCTTTGGCAATACAAGTTTTCTTTTATGAAACAACAGTCACCCTCGTAATTGGTACGAACGTGTAACTCCTTCTTGCTGCAGCTGAGCGCATAAAGCGGCCCACCTGAGATTCTTCCTTGTCTCCTCCCCTACCTTTGCTAGTTTCAATCCATGTATAATGGTGAGCCCCATAAATTTCATGATTGATTTGGGACAGTGCGCCTGCAGCCACATTGTCTTTGCCCGGTTTAAATTGAATAGTGAAGTCATAGCTGATCAACTTGACTAACTATTTTTGGCATTCTTGTGCAACCTTCCTTTGTTCTAATAAATATTTTAAGAGCGTTGATCAGTCCTGACCACAAATTCTTACTGAGAAGATAGTGATTCCATTTCCGTTTCGCTAAAACAATTGCCATCAACTCTCGCTCGTAGATTGATTGAAATCGGGCTCAGTCGGGAAGAGCTTAACTGAAATACGCGATAGGCCGCTGCTGTTGCATTAGTACCACATCTATTCTGGTCCCCGAAGCATCAATCTCTACTACAAATTCACGTTGGAAAATCCAGAAGTGCTAACATAGGAAAACTTGTCATTGCTTGACGAAGCTATTGGAAAGCCGCATCTGCCTCCATATCTCACTCAAACCTGCCTTCTTTTAATAGTTGGGTCAGCGGTCGTGCGATATTCCCATACCGCTTCACCAATCTGCGGTAATAACCTGGTAAGCGCAAAAATCCACACAACCCCTTGACATTCCGAG